ATATAATATTATAATAACAATAATCATTATAATAATGATTATTATTATTATTAATACTATTATTATTATATTAGTGATAATAATGATAATAATAACGATGATAGTAATGATAATGATTGTTGATTAATGACTATTAATGATTAATATTACAATCATTATCATTATTATTTTTATTTTAGTAATAATAATTATGATGATGAGGGTGATGGTATCAATGATAACAATAACGATCATATTAATGATAATAACAATATTATGATAATAATAACAGTAATAGTAATAATAATAATAATAATAATAAGAAGAAGAAGAAGAAGAAGAAGAACGAGGTGAGCGATAATGATGATAATATTATTATTAATAAAAATAATTATGTTATTATCAATACAAATAATGATAAAACTGTTGATAATAATGATAAAAATAACAATAATGATAATAATTGATGATAATAATGATAATAATAGTAGTAATGAATCTGATAATAATAGTAATGATAACAATAAATACAATAACAAACATAATAACACTTGCAATCTTCCATATTCTATTTATCATGAGGTTGTCCTATTTAAGAAACCGTCCGCCGATTCCTCCATCTCCCAAGCACGTCAAGTTTGCTCTCTGCAAGCCAAGATGACTCGACGTTTTCCTTCACACACCAAAAAAATACGACTAAATATCTGATCTAAAATGGAGAGATGGTATAAATTATATTCCTTCGGCGTGCAGCAGGGTTCGTCATGGTTGCAACGCACCCTGGTCCCTTTGAGTGCGGTTGTTGATATGGTAATAAACATATGATGCTCGTAAATACGTTCGTTAAGTCTTATGTTTATGGAAATGATGTGGAGTTCTTTATGTGCAGACCTTTTTTTCACTGCTGTTTAATTGCTTGTTTCGCAGATCTGTTCCCAGCGTGCTGTGCCTTTTTTAATTGGTGTTTCATTGTTTTCATTCTCTCTTTCTCTCTCTCTCTCTCGCTCGCTAGAGAGCTTCTATGTGGTAGAGATGACTAGGGCGAGCAAAGAGTGGAGAGCGAGAGCGAGCAGCGGGAGCGAGCGAGATGTCGAGATGCGCCGGAGGCGATCTGGTAGCGGGAGTTGCGGGAGCTGGAGATGCTTCTACGCGAGAGCGCTCATAGCAGATCGCCCGCCCCCCGCACCGCGCGCGCGCCGAGACGAGCTAGTCGCTAGCGCGAGAGGAGCAGATCAGTATCGAGAGCGCTGCGCGCTCGCGAGCGAGAGGTGATAGCGCGCGAGCCGCGGAGCTATGCGCTCGGCTGCGCTCGGCTATCGAGTGAGCTGGAGAGGGCTCTCGCGATAGGCGAGAGCGAGCGCGCGGTCTGGTCTTGAGAGGGAGCAAGCGGGGTAGGGGTAGGCTGTGTGAGAAAGGCAAGGGCATGGGGTGGGGGTGGGCAGGAAATGGCTCATTGAGACGGTAAGGAAGCAATACTAGCGATATCGAGCGTGCGATCAGCGATAAATCTCGAGAGAAACGATAGGCTGAAACTAGAGCAGAGAGTCGATGCAGGAGATCTCAATCTAGCTCGCGAGGCGAGAGATCTAGTAGAGTAAGATGCTATAGAGCGCGACCCCTCTCCTAGTCTAAAGAGAGCATAGGACTTGCAGTAATAGGCAAAACACAAACACTCTCACGTACCAGCCAAACTCCCGGACTCAGTCTGATTCTATGGTTCAGTGTCCATCTAAATGGTCTAAACGATTAAGACCAAGTACCATCACTCGATGATCATATAGAGCTCCGACTACCTCTCTCTCTCTCTCTCTCTCTCTCTCCCTCTCTCTCTCTCTCTCTCTCTCTCTCTCTCTCTCTCTCTCTCTCTCTCTCTCTCTCTCTCTCTCTCTCTCTCTCTCTCTCTCTCTCTCTCTCTCTCTCTCTCTCTCTCTCTCTCTCTGACTCAAACTCTCAATATCTTTCTCCACCTTCTTATACCCTCCTCCTCCTCCTCCGCCTCCTCCTCCTCCTCCTCCTCCTCCTCCTCCTCCTCCCCCCCGACCCCTTGCCCCGCCCCCTCTCCCTGCCTCGCCTCCTCACCCTACCCTGCCCCCTCTTCCTACCCTGCCCCCACCCACCCCTTGCCCCGCCCCTCTCCCCCCGCCCCGCCCGCCCACTCACCTGTGTGGTGTACCAGCCGAGGAAGATGGGGAGGACGGAGATGAAGACGGGGGAGACCCACGCGACGGCGAGCATCATCATGACCGTGTTGCCAGTCATCCTGAGGGTGTAGTCCAGCGGCTGCACGATCGCCGTGTATCTGGAGGAGACGAGGCCTAAGGGTTAGGTGCTGTTGAGCAGGGGCCTAGGTAGGGGAGGGGGGAGGGGGAGAGATAGAAGGAAACGTAAGGAAAGGATCCAGAGTGGATCCCCAAAAATACAGATGAAAGTATTTTAGATATAGATAATGTATATAAACACATATATATGTGTGTGTGTGTATGTGTGTGTGTTGATATATATATATATATATATATATATA